CAGGTGTAACCATGATGATTTTATACATATTGCAACTTGTTGCTCATTGTAGAGTTGTGCTCAAGTTAATAAGGGTTAAAGGCTACAGTCAGCGCGAATGTCTGACTGATCTATTGAGGGAAAAGGCTTCGAGCACAGAAGGCCGCACGCGCTTACAAAACACTGATATCATGTTATTCTTTGTGATCTTTTCTTAAATTATGTCTTTAAGGTTAGTTTAAATAGTGGCAGTTAATTAAACGAGATTTATTAAAATATTAAATACCTGAGTCAGAACGTTACACGCGGATCACCTTAAGAGTCTGGGAAACTTTGTAGCTGCCTAACTTTTTTTTTTGAATGTTCTAGCTCCGTTGATTTGACACATGGGAATGTGTCAAAAAAGGGGGAAGGTTGAGCTTTAACATCAAACCAGGATTATTTGAACATTTTATAACTTCATTTGTGTCTTTAATAATTTAGGAACGGTAAAGCTTAAGCTAATAGCGGTCCGAGAAGACGGACCTTTTAGAGAATCAGTGAAAAAGCATAAACTATCATTTTCATGTTTAATCATTACTCATTGAAATGAACTGAATAGCGTTTAGAAGATTTGTTAATTTTTTGTCTTTTGTTAAAAAGAGGGGTTTCAATAATTTTCAGACACACCTTGCAAATGTGCTTATAACGAGTTGGCACTCGGCCTTTTGAAGGTCAGAAGCTTCGTTCGGCGTGACTGTCCGGACTGATAAAGTGTAAGAAATGCCTTGAGTGCGGAGGGCTAAATGCAAACATGCTTACACACACATAAGATATGATTAGAATAAGTCCCTGGGACATTCTGAATGTTTTAGACCAATTCTGAATCACTAGAAGGTCAGTAGATAATAACATTAGATTATTAGGGTTAGGAAGAGAGGTGTTTTGGTTTTCTGTCTCTTACAGAGAAAGGAACAGACACCAGACGAGGTCACAGAGATGCGAGGATCCTCCGTAGCAGAGACAGACACAGTGACTGCCGAGACATCAACTGGGTCCAAGGGTCATGGCGTTTGGGCTCCAGCTAGTCACCACAAAAGGATGGATCCCATAAACACAGCAATAACCATGAAGGGGTTGGCGGAAATCCGGGAACACCAGACCAACGAAGTTCGAGAGGCTTTTGGGCAAAAAGGGGACACCTTCCTGTTCCTTTTTCTGGAGAATACACAGATCGTTGTCTGAAATCGGAGCAGAATAATCCCCTGATCTGTGTTACGACTGAAGGGTTGTCTAACCCCTAAGGTGGAAGAATTAAGAGCAGAGGATCACCCATCTGGACGACACTGGTAGCTGCAGCAATAAAATAAAGGTTATGAGCTCTTCGGACAGAGGTTCTAGTCTACGTCTGAATGGTATCAGGGAACACCAAATAAAGCAGTGGGAGACAAGGACATTGTCATCTGGACCTGCTACTGTTGGAATCCTAGTTTTTCTTGCACCTGACTTGCGTAAACACAGAGGTCATCTTGCATATGGTTTGCCCCTCAAGGGGACAAAGGACCTCAGGAGTGAGAAGAGATGAACCCGGCCACACTGGGCTACAGGGTGTTTGTGAGGTCATTATTCTAATGACCTCATCAGGGGGAATTGTAAAATTATGATATGATATTATTTTATGCCATGTTATACCCCTGATTAAAGATTGTGAATTATTATGTAGTTTTAGTTTGCATTATTCTCCTGAATTAGAAGAAGCTGATAACTATTGCATTAGTTAAACTGATTTGCATTACATTAAGTTGCTGACTTGTTGTGAATGAATGATATTGTTTTATGATGCATTATATTGCTGAGTTATAAGAAATACTGTTCGCAGAAGGTTATTGTCTAATTTGTCTGAGTAGAAGAGAACAGAGTGTGCTGGAGTTTTCTGCCCCATTTCAGCAGGAGCAGATAAACAGGGAGCCAAGGTCGTAGCTTAGGCGCTGTGTGAGAGAGAGCATGTGAATGTTTAGGCTTTTTATGATAAGGTGGAGGCACCAGAGGTTATAAAAGTTTGAGCAATGCTCCACCATTTTGAGATTTTGAGGCTGTCTGCATCAGTGTCCATCTCCCACGTGTGTGATCATTAAATCATCGTTTGACTCAACCCGGCCGGACCAGTGTTGTTATTGTGGTTTTTCCTCTTGTCTCCATCCCCAATATTTTGAACCTTAACAATGGTCAGAAGGGTAAGATGGCGCTGGCAAAGGTCGGCAGTCTTAACCCAATTTCCATTGGGGTCAGCCTTCAGGATCAATAAAGTTTTATTGAATTGAATTAAGTGACCAAACTATAAAGTTAAAGCGTATTGTTGTACCTATGCATTACACTGGAGCAGAGCTTACATACATTCTTACCTGCTTACACTCATCATTCATTCGTCAAACTGAATAAAATAGCAATAAAATAGGGTGGCTGCAGCTCAGGTGGTAGAGCGGTTCGTCTACTGATCGGAAGGTTGGTGGTTCAATTCCTGGCTTCCCCCAGGCTGCATGCCAAATATCCTTGGGCAAGATACTAACCCCAAATTGCTCTCCGATGCGTTCATCGGAGTGTGTGTGTGAGAGAGAGAATGTTACTTAGAAAGCACCTAGAAAAATGTGCTTGTGTGAATGGGTGAATGCACAAGTTGTGTAAAGCGCTTTGAGTGCTCAGAAGAGTAGAAAAGCGCTATATAAGAACCAGTCCATTTACCATTTAACCAGAGGAGTATTGCACTGGTTGGATGGCAGCAGCCATGGAGGGAGGGTGTAATTGTCCCGTGTTATGCTGGTGTTTTGTATTAGATGTAAGCTTACATTTGGCAGCATTAGTGAACATTATACTGAATGTTACACAGGAGTGTCTCAGGTAGGAGGGAGGCTCACTCGGTCCATTCACTGAGCTTAGTGTTCAGTGATCGATGGTCCAGGGGAAAAGCTGTTTTCTTAGCCTGGCTGTCCTGTTTCTTGAACAGGTGCTGTCCAGGATGAGATGAGATTTGATTGGCTCTCCTGAGACAGCGAGTGCTGACCATGTCCTCCAGGGAAGGAAAGGGACAGGCACTATTCTTCTGTGCTGTCTTAATGACCCACTGAGCAGTTAGCATACCAAGCTGTTAGCAGTAGGTGGGGACACACTATGGTGCTGTGGTAAAAAAGCCACCAAGACTTTCTTCTCCAGATGGTGGTTCCTCCTCCTCAGCATCCTGAGGTGGAGTCTTTGACTTTGGACCATGAGAGGTCCTCAGCTACGTGAGTCCCCAGGAACGAGGACACTCGCTGAACACAGTCTGCTTGATGTGGAGAGGAACGTGTTTCCCTCTGCTGAGGTCACATCTCCTTAGTTTTGATGGCGCTGAGCAGACGGTTGTGTTCATTGCAGCAGCCTGTCAGGTTTTTAACCTCCTGCCTGTTCGCCGTCTTCTCCGCTGATGATTGTCGCATCATCAGCAAATGTAACGATGGTGTTAGAGGGGCAGGTAGGTGTGAACTCATGAGTGTACAGGAGAGCAGGCAAAGACGCCTGTGGATACTTTATGTGAATGCAGATGATAATATTCTGCCAGCGTTTCACAGACTTGTTCAGCAAACTTTAAACACACTTCACGCTTCTCTTTTTTTCTGTGGCTCTTGCACACATATTGTTTTCTTTGAAACAGTCGTACCTGCTGATTCCAGGCCTTTCTGTGGCTCTTCATAACTGGGCCTTGACTCTTCTGATAATTCTTTTCACTGGTCTGTGTGAAATCTCGTGGGAAGCACCTGGTCGTGGCCCATTTATGGTGAAATAATATTCTTTCCACTTTACCAAAAGTGCGCTGGAACCTTCAGTAGTTCTACTGTGACCACTGCCACCAGCATGTTTTGCAAAGGTCTTGAGAGAGCTCGTTGTTTTTACCCGTCATGAGACGTTTCTTGTGTGAAACCTGAATAATGAGACCATCAGTTGGGACTGAACCAGCTGATATTTGATTTGATATTAATTGGCGAGGTCTGTGACGAGTTACATGACTCTTTGGTGGCAGGACTCCTGGGCTGGAGGTGCGAGTCCCACTGAGTCTTTGGATGTTGTTGGACTGTCCTGGTTTCCCACCTCGGGATAAGCAGACTACAGTAGCGGTTTCCCTTTCTAAGAAGTGGGACTAGGGGCTGAGCTTGAACTTGGGAATGATACTCCAAAGCCTCCCTGGAAGTCTGTGACTGGGTCAGTTCGTTAGTTGAACCTGAGGTTGAGGATATATTTTCAGCCCTGGAGCTCCTCTGTCAGATGGTGACGGCATACAAAGTATCTGGTACCACTGTCCTCTGTGTGCTGCTGCTGTTGGTCCATCAGCTGTGGAGAGAGTGAAGAATAAGTGATAATGAAAAGTTGTTGTTCTCGTTGAACTCTGTTATTGCTGCTTTATTCGTGGCCAACACTCAGCAGATATTGGCACCAGCCGATTTCAGTCGGGATCTCAAAGGACTTCGTGGAAGAGCAGAACCTATTTGCAGACATTTGTGGGACCTCGTTAGACTGTTGACTTGGACACAGACAGAAGACAGAAACACATTTTGAGACCAGAGGAGATGGATCTGTCAGAGTGGGGGCCCCCAGGCTGTGGAGTGCTTTGATTGCATTTATTTTTATAAACAGCAGCTTGAGACTCATTTATTTAGCCTGGCTTTGAACTAGATTTGTGCTGTTTCATATTATTGTGAAGCACTCTGTGGTTCTTATCCTGTGCCATATAAATAAAGTCAAATGCTGGATGTCTGTACTTTGTCCAGCTGAGCCGACACTTTAGAATCAGGCTTTGGTCTTGTTGTCAGTCATGTTGGATCTCCGTCCGTCTCTAATAACAGACAAATGACCAAAATGTAAAAATCCAAGTACATAATACCAGGCACAAAAGCCCCTGCAGTGTTTGTGCCGTGCTCTAACTAAAACTTTGCTTGAAATTGTTTAAGCAGTATTTGTTTCTCTGTTAACACACTGGTGTTCACTCATATCCATCTCTGTGCTTCCTAATCTGCAGGCTGGCAGGTGCAGCTCCTGATCTTCGCTGTTGTCTTTTGCATCAGAAGTTCCAGGTAGCCACACAGTGCACAAAGTGCAAGGACTAATCGAACGATTTAAAAGACAAAAAACAACATCATGCACATTTGTAGACTTGCAACTTTAATTCCAGTGGTTTATCAAAAGTGTTGTGTTAACTTTGATAATTGGAATGATGTTTAGGTGATAAAGAGAAAAATGAATTCTGAGAGCTGATGCTCAGTGTGATACAGCATCTTCAAACTCCCAAACACCTGTTTATGTCGTGTTGTCTGTTGAACACAAGTAGCAGTGTTATGTTTCCATGTGTGAAAAGAGTTTTTGTTCCTGGACAGATGCTGAATTGTTGTATCGAAAGGAAGAAGGCCAGAGATGACTCTCACAAGGTACCCGAGGGGAAAGAAAAGGAACACAGGGTCTCAGGTGCCTGCCAGAAGAGCCGCCAAGGACCAGAGTGTGCAACCAGTGCTTCCAGTTCAACAAGAGAGATGTCTCAAGGAAAATCCTGGGACTCGTGGAGTGACAGCGAGGAGGAATTCTTCAAGTGCCTGAGTGACCAGGGCGAGACTGAGGCGACACAAGCTGAGGGCAGAGCTGAGGGCAGGCTGCACCCCTACAACAACATGACTCTGCTCAACTCTGCAGAGCCTCTCTATGTTCACAGGTCAGAGTCACTGCCTCACTGTGCAAACACATCATATGCTGTTATTTATTCCAAATACAGCATGTTGAAAATAATAGTCGGGGTCACACGGGGTGGAGCCTATCCCATACCATAGGGCGAGAGGCGGGGTTCACCCTGGACAGGTCGCCAGTTGCAGGGCGAACACAGAGAGACAGACAAACATTTAACCCAGGGGTGGGCAACTCCAGGCCTCGAGGGCCGGCGTCCTGCAGATCTCACCCTGTGTCAACACACCTGAATCAGATGGTTAGTTCAGCCTCTGGAGAACTTCCACGATAAGGATAAGCTTTATTTGTTGGTTGCCTGCAACTGAGATGACCTAATCGACCATACATACCATGTACAAACTTAACATTGGGGATACAGGTCAGGCTAACTAGCAACAAAGGATAGCCCTAACCCAAGACACGTTGAGGAGGTCATTTAGCCATTGAAATCAGCTGTGTTGGATCAAGGACACATCTAAAACCTGCAGGACACCGGCCCTCGAGTCCTGGAGTTGGACACCTCTGATTTATGCTCTCATTCACACCTGTGGGCAGTTTAGAGTCAGAGTTAACCCAACCCCACTCGCTCCATGTTCAAAGACGTGCAGCTAATAATTAGAACTAAAAGAAAGCGGTTGTAACAGTACAGAGGCGACCTTTGTGTGACAAAACCATGAAAGCAGATCTCATATAAGTGGTTCACAGAAATGTCATTAACCTCAGCTGAAGCTGACTGAGTCTGATATCTGTGCATCATGTTTCATTTTCAGGAACCGTCTTCTCTGTGCAGTTAATGAATGGGATATTAATGAATTAATAAAAAATGTCATGTAGGCTTTTACAAGTAAACTAGTGTGGAATAAGAGGACTGTTGATCAGCCTACGCTGTGGAAAGTTGTGACTCTGTCACTGACACGTGTGGCATGATGGATGCAGTCATGCTGGGAGAAGCTACGTGAGTGCAGAAACCTCTGATCACCAGACGATCACGTGGTCGTCAGTTTTCAAACAGCTCATTGCAGTTTGATAAATCATCTTCAGAGGTTATTTGAACCTTGTCTTTGCAGAGACCTGCAGATCTGAGGCAGTAATGCAGTGATAATGACCAGCACACAGTGTAAGTCATGCTGCAGCTGCCCTGAATCTACAGTGTTGGTTATTCCCACCATGTCTCTGTTTCTGATCCAGTGTGGACGAGCTCTTTATTCAGTCTGAACTGGTTTTAATACTAAAATACAATTGATTTGTTATTCATAGATTTTCAGATTTACTCTTACACAAAAAAGTAAAACATTTTTGTTGCCAGATCACACGTATTTACTTCCAGTCCTGAACAGAAGGAAATCGTTTTGATGCCTAAATGACATTTTATGTTCAGTGACAGCCTGGTGTGCTTGGGTCAATGAATGCAGTGGTGTCGTGAGTGGGCCCTGCTCGAGTCGTCAGTGCCAGTATGAGGTGTCAGTGAATATATTTACACATTACTTCATTTAAAGTACGAGTTTGTGTCTCTGTCCACAGGCAGCCAACCCCGGCTGTGTCCTGGAGGATTTTGTGCGCTGGTATTCACCTCGGGATTACGTAGAAGAGGAAGTGGTTGATGAGAAGGTCAACACAATGGTGATGGGGACACTCAGTCCCAGGATGAAGATCCCAGGCAACATGTGGGTGGAGGCTTGGGAGACTGCCAGGGTCACACCTGCACGACGCCAAAAAAGACTTTTTGATGACACCAAGGAGGCCGAGAAGGTCTGAAGCAGGTCGTTCGTTTTGCCACATGCGTGTTTTAAGCCAAACGTGTTTACTAAGTGGATCACAAAGTGTTTTCATGAATGTTTCTGCTGATTTTCAGGATCAGCTTCTGCCATGGGACCGTTTTGGCTCATGTATGTTGGAGAAGTCAGTTTAACACAGATCTGTGCTCACAGACATGTTGAAGCATTTTCACATGTTGATGAAAAAGGATCTGATGCTGTCACACACGATGTTTAACTGACACACAGCAGCTTTCTGTGGTGTGATGTGTTAAATGAAGAACAACTTTAAACCAGCTTCTATTGATCCGGTCGGCTTTATGGGAAAGGGACAAACAGTAACTGGGGTTGTTTCCTCACCCAAAGAGGGTCCTGGATTTGGACCCGGGCAGGTCCCTGCCAAGCATTTGCATGTTCTTCCTGCACATATGAAAGCAGAGCTCGGAGCTCCAGTTTGCACCATCACTGAAAATGTTGCCTGTCTTTTAAAGACATTGGTTATCCAAAAAGAGAAAGTTAAAAATAATGCTCACTGATAGTCTTATGACAGATTTAAAGATCTGGGTATGACTGGTCCCTCTGTGAATAACCATCATAGAGAAAGGTCACCGTTTATCTGGAGTCTTCTTCAGAGGCAGCCTGTTGGCTGTGCAAAAATATTCTGTTGATCTGAAAGAGCAAAAGGAAAACAGAAGCCAGGCAAACTAAACTTTTTGGGGGTTTGTCTTTAGGTTCTGCACTACATGGCGATGCAGAAACCTGCAGACCTGGCCCGTCACCTCCTGCCCTGTATACTTCATGCAACTATTCTGAAGGAAGAAGGTAAGTCCTCACCGTTTGGTTGAAAAACACGTTTATATGAAATAAAATCAGGGAAAATAACTCTAAGCCCACAGCAGGTAAATTACAGTAAGACCGAAATACAAAAACTAAAGATATTAAAATAAGTACTAAGAAAATGAAATGCAACCCGAGATGTTAATGGAGAAAAAAAAACAGAAGCTGCATGAATAAAAAAGTAGAAATCTTGGACGCTGCCAGCATAATGCACAGTCTTTTGACGGGGCTCGCACACAAACACAAAGCAGAGGATGAAGCATCACCAAATATGTTTCCAAGCCAAAGAAGATAAGATGAAGCATACCTGGGCAGCGGTGGGTGATGAGGAGAGGCCGCAGCGTGTCTGTCTTAAAGTGCAAGTTTGTGACAGTTTAAAGCTTAACAAGCTAAGACGCCAAACATCCAGAGCACAAAGACAAGTCAGAGGGCTTTTTCAGACACACACTTCTAAACTGTCGTGCTCAACAGTGTCTCTGCTAAAACTGCGTCTGTGCTCTGCCCCTGTAAAGTTGCCTATCGAGTGCTTAATGATAAGGTGCATGCTAGCTGCTTTCCTCTGCAGGTGGAGAAAGCCACTGATAGTGACAAAGGAATGACTTCTGCAGACAGGCTCCTGGCAGAGCCACTGCAGAGGAACTCTTTACAATCACTGACTGTGAAACGTGAGGACTGTGTGGGGATGTGCAGACGGGGGCGGGACGGCTGGGAAACGAGGAGGGCTGCAAGTGGATGCACTGTATGATACACGCTGGCGTCTACACAGCTCAGTCCTGAGCTGAGTGATGTAATGACTGATTGCATCGACACAGTCATTACATCATAATACAACCCCTTTTTTTCGGCACTGAAGCGAAACAGGCTCCGCACACACAGCCGTTCTGTATCACAGCTGTGATGCAAAAAGATTTGGGCACCACTGGTATAGAGTGACTGGAACCCAGAACCTGGAAGTGTCCAGTGATGTGAGGGTAAAGGACGTCTCACTGTGTACTTTGGTGCACAGATGAGTTTGTGGTCGGTTCAGTGAATGCAGCCCATGAGCTGCAGAAAAAGCCCAAATCCTGAGCCCCCCAAGATTTGGGCTCAAGATGTGTTCTGCACTGCAGGCCCTTGGACTCCATCAGGGTTTGGGCCAGTTTTGAGCTCTTATAAGTATCAGAGATGGACACGTGATGTTTTCAGGGCTGCGTAGGCATGATGGGTAGAACATGACCCTGGTGTTAAAATGCAGGTAAATGTGATTTAGTTTGTTTACTCTAACTAGCTACCCAACCCTCACTGTGAAAGGAGCCTGGAAAGTTTCCCCAGCATGAATTTCTTTCAGTCAAGTTTTCTCCAGTAATGATCAGAAATCAGATAAAACCCACTCTTTATTTTATTCTACACACAATAAATTGATAATTATTCCAGGATACAGAAAAGTCTAGATTTCGTCTTCAGACTGTCACATCTGGAGCAGGGCATAATTTGAATTGGTTTTTAGAAGAAGCTAAAGATCTTTCAGTCGTGTTGCTGTTGTTCCCTGACACCTGCGGTGCAACCATTAATTTAGCTAATGAGAGTTCACGTATAATTATAACAGGTCTTAGTTTCTGGATCGTCTCTAAGTTGACGGTATACTGCTAAGACCAGTTCTGAGTCTAGAGACAGCCAATGGTAAGGACTAGTAAGGACATCACTGAGGAGAGTTTTCTAGTACTTTGGAGAAACCTCAATCAGCTAACGTCCTGCTGTGATACTCAGACCTTTTCTCTAATTAAACCAGAAAGCTAGTTTTCATTTATTCTATAATATCCCAGAATGTTTCAGCAGGTCAGAAATGCTTTGGTGCATATCCAGGTTGTATGCAAATTAATTCTGATTAAGTCTGGACTACAAAATACAAAACATAGCAACAATAATGTCCTCGTTTCACTTCTTTAAAAAATGTATTTTGATCTTATGACACTTACTAAAAGCTTTACTTCCAGAGGTTGACAGAGACGCTCCGTGCTGATAACACGTGAATGTGTGAAGGTTTGGATCATATCTATCTAATAGACTCCAGTTTGTGCATGTAAATGGAGAGTCCTCTTCACACACTGAGGTTAGTTATGGAGTTCCACAGGGTTCAGTGCTAGGACCAATTCTGTTTACATTATACATGCTTCCCTTAGGCAGCATCATTAGAAGACATAGCATACATTTACACTGCTATGCTGATGACACCCAGCTCTATCTGTCCATGAAGCCAGATAACACACACCAATGAGTTAAACTGCAGTAATGTCTTAAAGACATAAAGACCTGGATGGCCGCTAACTTTCTGCTTCTTAATTCAGATCAAACTGAGGTTATTGTACTCGGTTATTGTAGATGGCCCCGCCCCTCCCTGAGCCTGGCTCTGCTGAAGGCTTCTTCCTGTTTAAAGGGAGTTTTTCCTTGTGCCAAAGCACATGTGGGTATATTCCTGGACAAAAGGCTTAGTTTCTATTTGCAGATGTGTTCTGTGATCCTCTGAAATAGCTGGATTAATTAACTCCAATAATAATCCATCAAGACTTTGTGGATATGTTTTAATCTCTGTAAAGATTATTATAAAATGTTGTGAAGGTTTTGTTTATTTCAAAAGGATCTGTATTAGTAAGATAATAGTTTGCAGGTTTACTCAATTTTAGGCTTTTTCTCATGTTAACAGTAACTGAGGTTACAAACGTGGCAGGTCTTTCTTTTAATCACAGCTTTCTGTCACTCTGGAAACACTGTCATTTCTTCTCTTTCAGAGTCTGCTGAAGATATTCCATCAGTGCAAAAAACCATTCAGCAAGCTACAGTTCAAGCGAGCAAGCTCCTGCAGTCCCCCAACCAGGACTACAAGAAGTTAGAGGTCAGTGAAAACTCGACCGGACTTTCCACAAATGATTCAGTTTAAAAGAAAGTATCATTAGATTCACCCAAAAAAGTTTTGTTTTTAAATACATTATTGATTGATTGTTAACTGTGTTTTTGTTGTAGTTGAGTATGTGCTGTACATGAGGTGTACGTAGACTGGACAGTGTGCACCATGGCTGAGAACTTGGCTGATAATTATTATGGCCATTGATGGTTGAACCATGAAAACAGGGGTGTGGTGCAGTGGGATTGTAGTGGGAGCTGGAGTAACAAACTCCAGTGCTTCCTCAGTGATGGCTAACTTTTTTCTAAACCTAGGTAATTCCTTCGGCTGTTCCCACCTGGGCTCAAAGCTTTTATACTCTGCTGATATCGGATGTGTTTATCAGTGATCGAAAACAGAGACTGAGATTGTTATTATTGAGTTTGATCACATGTTAGGTGCATTAAACACCTGCTTTAATACTGTCCTAAAGTCTGAGAACAATCATCACTTCTTCACATATAAAAATGTTCTTCTCACTAGCACTCAGTATCCATACAGCCCCTTTTCTTTGAATAACGCTGTACAGCTGCACAGCTAAACCCCACCATGTTAGTTCGGCTTGACTGGACAGTCTTGTTGTGTAAAAGCATTCTTGGCTTTCTCAAAGTACATTTAAGTATGCCATGTATCCACTGTGACTCCAAACACGCCTTTTACACCCCGAGACTCAGCCTATAACGTTCCACGTAGGAAAAACCACGTATGTGTATAAATGTGACAGTCTTGGGGTCTCATGCTGTCAGGATTGAGCAGACAGTTGTTCTTGTCCTGTGTGCAGGATTTCATTAACCAGCTGCTGAGCATGGAGACAGTCATCACTCAAGCTCGCTCGCTCAAGGCCAAGTTCTCCGTTCCTGAGGACGACAGCGGAGAGGCTGCTGATGAACTGAAGAAGTGAGTCGCAGAGTTTGAGCTGCGCTCACTGACAGCTTTGTTTGTGCTGTTGGTAACATGTAACCGTCTTCACCGTCACTATAGATAGTTAGTCAGTAACAGGTTGTCACGATGAATCTGTTTCACAAAGACGGCGTCTGAAGGATCACAGTCAGTTCACACGTTTCTTTCTCGCTCATGTTGGTGGTCTTATTTTATAGTTTTGGTGTCTTCAGGTTTTACATGTTCTTATTTAAGTGTTTTGTTTTGTGGGAATATTGTAACATTTTCCACATTGTGTGTTGTCTCTAGGTTTGTGAGCTCCCTGCTGGAGGAACCAGAGGTGGTAGTGACAGGAGCAGGCCAGGGCCTGGCTGGCAGTATAATCCACGGACTCTTCATCAGTGCTCAGAGGGTAACTCTCACTCTGCCTCCGTGTCCTTCCCACGTCTTGCTGTCAGTTTCATGTATACAGTCATGTATTTGTCATCTATAGAGACATCTTTAGAGGTACACACACACACCAGTCAACCACTTATTCAATATCAGCATCAAGAATAGGTCGGTGTCCCGGTCCTAGAACAAGACATGAAGTCAGCGCTGTTTTATTTTGTTGTGGGCAGTCTGAGGTACACCTGTGCACTACTCATGATGTCAGATCAGCATCCTGATGTGGCACACCTGTGAGGTGGGATGGATTATCTCAATATAGCAGATGTGCCCACTACCACACATTTGGACTGATTTGTGACCACTGTTTGGGAGGGATGGTTATATTGTGTATCTGGAATGAATTTTAGGTCTCTACGTCCATCCCATGGGGAATGGGAGCAGTAACAAAGGTGTTGCGTTTATATTTTTGTTGAGTGTATGTACTTCATGTAGATGAAACTGGAAGGACGTGGTCAGCACTGATGTAAAGATGCGGTGTTTTCTGTCAGTGTCAGGAGAGTCTGCTCTATTGTAACGTTGTTTCTTCCTGAAACACACAATTGCTGCTGCTGTGCTGTGAAGCACGTTCAGAGCTATAAGAACCAGTCTGTTTAACTATCAATGACAAATGAAGAATTATCAGTTTGACTGTGTGACAATTCTGCAGGAACAAAGTTGTGCAGCTCTCTCCACAGTGGAGCAGATCTCCTTCCTGTCTTTGACGCTTCTTTTTCTCTTTCTGCAGTAACAACTATTAGTGTGCATTTGTATATGTTTACAGTGTTAGCAGAAACAAAGCTTTGGTGGCCGTGACTCCAGAGATGGAGCCGAGTATCTAATCGAATCATCGGTTTGTTCTTTAAGCCTTAAAAGTGTCCATGTGCTCCACACTGGATCCCAGATTGACTCTGATGCATCAACTGGAACATGAATCCAAAATCCTGCTCCTCACATACAAGGTCTTAAATAATCAGGCCCCATCTTATCTTAATGACCTTGTAGTACCATATCACCCCATTAGAGCACTTCACTCTCACACTGCAGGCCTACTTGTTGTTCCTAGAGTATTTAACAGTACAATGGGAGGCAGACCCTTCAGTTTTCAGGCCCCTCTTCTGTGGAACCAGCTTCCAGTTTGGATTCAGGTGACAGACAAAACTTTCCTCTTTGATAAAGCACATAGTTAGGGTTGGATCAGCAACCTTAATTAGTCTGCAATAGACCCTGTGCACGAGAAAATGCTAACTTCCTGTTTTAAGATCGGATGCAGGGTTGTACATTTCCGGTAGCTTTACTTTGCGGTCAATTGCTGCTGCAAAGATGGACTCCAAAATCATGTCCAAAATATGAAAACAGAAAGATGGCGTTAAGTTACAAAGAGCAGAAGGTGGGAACACTCACCACTGCTGTGTCATAAAAAAAATCAAATGATCAGTTTTGAGGTTTGAAGCGTGCAGATCGATTGGTGGTTTACATCACTCAACACAAGCAGAACTGCATTAAATGGTAAATGGCCTGCATTTGTGTAGCGCTTTTCTAGTCCATAAGACCCCAAAGCGCTTTACACTACATTCAGTCATCCACCCATTCACACACACATTCACACACTGGCGATAGCAAGCTACATTGTAGCCACAGCTGCCCTGGGGCGCACTGACAGAGGCGAGGCTGCCGGACACAGGCGCCACCGGGCCCTCTGACCACCACCAGTAGGCAAACACGGGGTTAGTATCTTGCCCAAGGATATTTGGCATGCAGCCAGGATGCAGCCTGGGATCGAACCACCGACCTTCTGATTAGTGGCTGACCTGCTCTGCCACCTGAGCTACAGCCACCCCACAGCCATTACAGAATCAGAAGCACATCTCTGTATTGATTGATTGATTGGTAATTTATTTCAACATGTGAACAATATACAAGTACATTTAGAAAAGAAATAAGAGAGAAAAAAATACTATACAAATTACATACAAAAAAAACCATTCTGATTAATTTACATGTATAGTGACAGTTCTTATGATTTAAACAGGCAGATGTTCAGCATTCAAACTACAGGTGAACAATAGTCAAAGGTTTCCCTGCTAGTCAAGTACACACCTACACAGCATGTCAACAAACCGTGGTAAGGGTCTCTATGCATGAGTATTTACGAAGGGTATGTTGTGACGTACCTTCAAAATTACCGCGGTCCCTCGCTATAATGCGGCCTCGCTGTTTCGCACATTTTTTTTGTGCAAGTTTGCATGCTTTTTTTTTTTTTGCGCACAGCGCTTTGTGTTCTGCGTCCTGATTGGCTGCAGACTATTGTTGATCTCCTCCGTGCCGTCTCTCCTGTACAGTACAGAATCGCTGATTCATTGATTCATTAATGATTCATTGATGTTGAATTATCTCTCAGCTGCTCTGTTCTCATGTGCTGGACCTGAAAACACGGTTTGATCTTTGGTTTCTGTAATACTGGACTTATTTGTCTACGAAGGTTTGAACTTTGAGAGCTTAAACAGGAGAGAAACATGTGAAAATGTTCATGTCTGTCTGAGTGTATAAAGTGTGTAGTGAGGGGTTTACCTTAAAACATCTATAATAATTGTAAAAAATAAAGTTGGCTACTTCAGATTTCACCAATCGCATTTTATTTTTAGAACGTAACTCCCGCGATAAACGAGGGAGCGCTGTATACAAATACTGAGAAGTATAAAATTTGAATCCTGTCTCTCTCTGAGGCGCGGGGGGAAAAAATATCGACAAGTCGATCAACATCATCTACAGATACATTCGACATCTCGAGAAATGTAAATCGCCACTTGATTCGTCCATTTGGTTGGAAAACCCGACCGTGAACAAGGAGCGAATATCACACCAGAAACTAAGCGCTATGCGCCGGAAGTAGCATATGCTAAGGCGCACAGGTCTAAGTTATAGGTCTAAGTTCCCCATAATGCACTGGGTGTTTCTTCTTCACTCAACATGTGTTAGTAGACCTCTCTGCATTCAGCCCGTCTGCCCCTCATCTATCGATGGATGTTAGAGGCTTTGGTTCCCACTGTCGCTCACAGACGGTCACCTAATGTTTCCTGTGTAACTGCAGGGTCTTTGCCTTATAACATAGAAGCAGCTTGAGGTAACTGTTGTTGTGATGCTGTGTGTGTGTAATAAAGCTCCCTTACTGACAGTGGGTCACCACAGCTTGTAGCTCCATGTATTTGATGTGGCACGTTTGCCCTCGCTGACACAACCTTAAAGGGATTTGTGTGTATGAATAAAGTTTATTGTTCATACAGTTCATTGCCGTATGTCTGTGAAAGGCTGAATGAGGGTTGTAGCTCCCTCAGCAGCTGTGGAGCGATGGCTCGTGGTCACCTGATTCAGCCCTGGAGATGTGGTTGGTTAGACACGCTGCTTTAGTTTACACTACAAACCACACTCACCTGTTTACACTCCTTTTGTGTTACAACCACCTTGTTACACTCAAACACCAGATGATGCATCTGAGCCAACTAAGGATTCACTGAGACTGAAGAAGCTCGAGATCATAAGAATTTGAGGCTCAGCTGATACAGTATCATAGGAGAATCCAACCATTGTATGTCAAGAGACTCTAGGCAGTGAAAGCTCCATCTGGAGGAGGAACGACGTGGTTCAGAGCGTTGCCTCCTGCAGCTGGTGACATGTTCAGATTTCAGCTCTGTCGGTTAGAAAGTCTGTTTTTGTTTTTCATCTGTGTGTTGCTCTTTCATCCTTTTCTTCTTCCTGTTTCTTGCATCAGGCTGGCTGACTTCACCACTGATGAGGTAACCATGAGCAGTAAGCCTCGTGTCGCTCACAGTTACATTTAACATAGTGCGATAAACACACTCAGTCATTATAAGGTACATCCTCTCTAAAGGTTCACATAACAGACAAACAGGATAATAAAAATGATCTGGTTCTTTGCAGCGTCCTGAGATGAACAACACACGACATTATTACACGTCTCAGTATTTGTTACACTGAACACAAATATAAACACAACACTTTTGTTTCCATGAGCTGAACCGGATCCTGACTGGTTTTGCGACATGTGTGTCATTGTGCTACACATGTACGGCATATTTCAAAGTGGCCTTTTATTGTGGGCAGTCTCAGACACACCTGTGCAATATTCATGCTGTCTAATCAGCACCTTGACATGCCACACCTGTGAGGTGGGATGGATTATCTCAGCTAACGAGAAGTTCTCACTAACACACATTTAGACAGATTTGTGAACAGTGTTTGCGAGCAATGTTCCCTGTAATGTTTCACGTGTCTGAGCGAACACACAAACTCCCTGAGCGTCCCTTGGACCACTGTGAGCAACAGCAGACGTGTGCACTGTGGTCACGCCAGCACCCAAGTTACATGTTTATTAAAATAATCAAATTACAGCATTTACATTTATGTTAGACTACTTTTAATTAACTGCTTTAGCCCACTTACAATGAAAATTAAAACAATCTTCTTCATGACCTGTGCAGCATGTTAACACTATTGGAAGTAAAAATAACTTGAACTTCAATTTTGAAAACACAACTTTCTTTAAATAAAGCTCTGACTTGTATTATGAGTCTGTGGTCTGAGAGAGAGTCTGTAACTGTCTGCAAAATACAGTAAATAATGACCAATGTTGGGCAATTAATTATATAGTTACTTCTTCAAAAAAGTAACTGAGTTTTGCAAACAGAGTTTTTTGCAGCTTTTTACCTAAAAATGCAGCCAAGGTGTTTTTTTAAAACAAACATTTCAAACTATTTACAGAACAATCAGCTGTTCTGCATCAAATCTGATGCCACACAGATTATTTGTGCCGCTCCAAAAAATAATTTCTGTCCACTATGAGATGAAGGAGAACAACAGCCTGATACCTGCAGGCCTGACAACAGGAGATGTATCACTGCTGTAACACCTGTAACACTCAGCAGTCGCCTCATTGTTCTGACACACACAACACTATTGACTACACTACACACTAACTACACAAGATTTGTGCTAAACTTGGCAATCGCATCTCAAACACCGCCGTCACTCCTAAAACTTCCCCCTTCCTAAACAACTAAATGTCATGTTGCCATATCATTTTTTGATTGGTCGACATGGTGCATTTTTCCACCAATAGGAAAGGCTGGTGGGGGTTTGTTTTGGTGTTGTTTTGGCTCACAGGCTTTCGAGCGTTTTCCTTATAAAACGGCGTTTTTACCGTTTCTTCCCGCAGTAAATATAAACAACGACAGTATTCAGGAAGAAAAACAAACATTGCAGATATTTTTATCATAACTCTGGTTTTACGCGGCCGATCAACACAATTTAAAAACTGGTATAAAGTCCACACTTTGTCCGTCAGTTGTTCCGTCTGTCCTGCTCACGTCTCCAATGGTTGTACACGCCACATCAGCCGCTTTGCTAAAACACCGGTGTTGGCACATAAGGACGCTGTCATAGCCTGTCAACCACGTTGATCAGCTGCGTATATACGAATGTGAATCGCGTGATTGGCTGGACTACGGGATAAGGTGGCCTCGTTCTGATCCCATACGGGAGCAGCCAGTCACTGACTAACACTGCAGAACAGAATTGTTAAAGTTTTCATTTTAATTTCAATTCAGGTGATTTTTTTTTTTTTTTGTGCGCAACGCAGATTTTCTGTGCAGAGCCCGTGCCAGCAGTGCACAATTGTGCCAGCAGTGCGCAATTGTGCACGCGCGCAGCTTAGAGGGAACATTGCTTGCGAGTGTCGGGTCTTTTGTGTTTGTAGAAAATGTTTCATATCTTTGAGTTGAGCTCATGGAAAACAGGAGCAAAAACAAAAGTGTTGCGTTTATATTTTTGTTCAGTGTAAATGATAAAACATCAGGTTTGACCCAGAATACAGTTTGATCCACATGATGGCGCTGTGAAAAGTGCGCGCTGTACTGGTGGCACCAGTGTCCCCAGCCCACAGACCAGTGCTGCCACTAATTGTCATTAGCAGCATCTAAATGCTGTTTAAAGGTGGACTTCATCTGTCACACAGGAGCAGTTTGGCTTCGCTTTGCTTAAATAATGACCTGGTGTATTTCTGTATACACACCTGCTAAGGATCAGGTGACTTTTATAATAAAAGGTTAATACGTAAAACCTTAAAAATAAAAAGGGCTGTTTTTAGCAGTATTTAGGCTGCAGTCTGTGTATTATGTCCATGATATTCTACATTACAGTAAAAACAGTAATTATATAAAGAACAGATGGATCAGGATCCTGTCTGTTCTTTACTATGATCTCAGCTGATAATGAGGCTTGAAAGAGACATGTTTGAACTTTTGCATTGATCAGACAAATAAGCCTGCATGTTTGCATGAGCTTTACCTTTAACTGTAAAACATGAAGCCTTTATTATTATTAAAAAAACAAAACCCTTTTGGTGTCATACAGGTAAGAAAGCAGTGAAGCGTTTTTCTCTCTAACAGATGTTTCATCTGTTTTCTCTGCCGTTGCTCTGATGGGACCTGCAGGGTGTTTTTGGTGACGTGGAGGTTTGCACATGTTTCACTTGCTGCCTGTGGTTCATGTTCTAGTCCCACTGTGAAGCACATAGACGTGTCCTGACTTCCTGTCTGTCCCACACTCTGTTGTCTCTGTTTGTTGCTGCCAACAGTACAAGTCATCTTTGCAGATTTTACTGAATTAACAAAAACATGTTTACTGAAAGACTTATTCAGTAAACATTAGGGCTGGGCCATATTATACCGTTCACGGTAATACTGGTATAATGTTAGGCAATGATAGGAAAATGAAATATCGCGATAGAATATGAGTAAAACGCGCATGCGCAGTGCCTTTGTTTTCATACGCACATGGCCGATTGTTGAGTGAATCAGATGAACCAGAATTGGTTTGTAAAAATGTTGCAACTTCAGTGATGTGGAACTGGTTTGGTGTTTGTCCGTCAGATACACGACAAAGCACATTTTTTTGCAGAACATACAAGCAGCCGTCGTTATTGTCGTATTTGTCGGACTAAAGTGCTTGTAAATCTGGGAGTAATCTGGGTCCTAAACTCCGTAAACCTTCAGGTCAAACAACACTGCAGCATCACTGAGAGTTAAAAACTGTCTAAATTCTTTCATCTTTAATAAAACAATCAGCATTGCTGCTTTACCAGGTGTAACTATGAAGTTTAACTTCCAGGCATCCATGAAAACAAAAGTTATTACATTTAACGGAGTTAAAAGTTAGCAGGAAGCTAGCGGAAGTTAGCTCGCTAGTTTCGCTAGTTACCTAAGCATGATATAGCATGTTCTGACTGAGAGATTTCTGAAAAAATTCAAACGTACAGCTCTGCTACCACTTCCAACATAAATGAAGACAGGAAACTAAACAGCAGTGACGTTTGTAGGGTTACTGAAGTTGGGCTAGCTGGTATATAATGATGTGCTACGTGATCGCTAGCAACACAGCTATGTCAGCATAATATAAACAGTGAAGCTGGAGGATGAACTCTAACACTTTTCCACTTATAAAAGTTTACGTGAAGGTTCCTGATGGTTAGAGACAAATGCAATCGCATGGCAGGATGCTGTAAACGGACCAAACTTCAGTCAGAAGAACAACTGAAATAATCCATCCACAATACGAGGTTAGTCATTAATATACTGCAACAACATGGGAATAGAGCAGCTGCCAGAGAATTCAACATTAATGAATCAATGGTACAGAAGTGGAGGAAGCAAGAAGAATGAGTTTAATAAAGTTTGATTTATCTGACTGCTTTGTTTCGCTTAATGTGCCTTATAATCCCGTGCACCGAAAACTACGTACTGCACACTGCAGTTTAATGTTGCAAAGCACCTCTTTTAACTTCAGTGGATATTATACATGGTTATGCTCAGGATATGTCAGCCCATTTCTACTGGAAATGCCTTTTGGTTAAACTTTCAGCAAGGAATTTGCATTTGCACTGTTACATTTTTATAAAGCTTTAATGTACATAAAAACCAGCTTCTTGTTTAAGTGAAAATAAATGGAAGGTTGTCTTTTGCGCTAGTAATGTTGTGGAGTTGTATTTTGTCTCGCATCAATTATATCGTCAGTTATATCGTTATCACAAATTTTCAAATATATATCGTGATAAATATTTTTGGCCATATCGCCCTGCTCTAGTAAACATGTTTGTTACACTGAGACTGAAAAAGAGATCCCTGTTTACGCTCATAGAAACGAGCCTCTGTTTTACTTTATTGAAATCATTTCTAATCACAGACAGGATCAGCAGCGTGCAGCTGCAGTGAGGTGTTAGTAGAGGAGCTGTGTTTGTGAGCTGTAGTCTGGATCAGGTCTCTGTGGGAGACTCGGTTACAGTACTTCTGAATATCCACGTGTCCACCTCACACAGCACATTTCTTCAGAATCGGTTGCTGTTTGCTAACATTTGACCTTTGCCCTTTTAGGCTGCCCTTCTGGCGCCCGTCGATAAGGACTTGGGATCTGACAAGAAGCAAACTGGGGGAAGCAGCAGAGTACCAGACTTCCCTCCTCCAGCAGGCCGGGAGATCTTGTTGCGCACCTGTGTGCCGCGACCAGCAGCGTACTCCAAGGCGCTGCCTCAGCGGCTCTTCTGTGTCCTGATGAGGAGGAGTTTAGGTTGACCGGAGCCTTTTCCACAGACACGTCCTTCTTTTAAGTCCTGTGAACAATTCACACCTGGGATAAAGATAAGTGAAGGACACAGGATGGAGACTTTCACATGTATGAACGTGGCCATGGAGTAAGATCATAGAAATACATTTCTTCATTTGTTTGCTTTATTTGTAAGAATGGTGCAATATTTCAGCATCTACGGCTCGCCCAAGCTTAAAAGCAGGAAGCAGTATATTACTGGCATTGATTAAGAAGCATTTATGGCTTTGTCTGGAAATATGTGAAACTACATCCTTCTCTGTATTCATAAATCTGCAGCTTCCTGCAGCTGTGATAAAACAGTTTCACACTAAAACCTTCATTTTACCTTCAAAGCTTCTCTTGATGCCTTTTTAAGGAAATGAAATTTGTCGTTAGGATGGAGTTCCCCATCCTGCACTCACCACACGCTAACACAACCTTCTCAACTCTGATATTTAGTAGATTATATTTCAGTTGCAGGGATTGGTCCTGATGGTAAACATGAGAGCCGGTGAGGACTTCATGGGTCGTTTCAGCTGAGCTCCATCCTCCAGCATGTCCTGCTGCTGGATTAACACACAGCTGTTTGTTTGCATCCAACCAGAACCAGACCGTGCAGATCTTATTCCTGTTCATAAGCTGATTGTTCAAACATGAAGCTCTTTGACGTTGTATAAAAACTGAAACGACACTTTACAGCTGACTGTGATGTTTTAAATGGAGCTGGTTCCTCGAGGCGCGTCCGACAGCATGAGGGGAAAATTGGTTTTGTAATATTTTCTTTGTTTTGTTAAGGGTGTATCCATCCCATGATACAGACACATACAGTTTAAACGAAGCACTGAAACTTGCACATATTTATTATAGATGCACTGAAGCTAATCGAGATATTTGCTGTCAATCTGTGGCTGCGATTAAACACTTTACTGGAAACTTTATTAACTAGTAACTTCATCAGTCATGACAGAAGCTAATATTTCTGTGCTAACATCGTTTAAACAGTAACAGCTTTCCTCCAATATAAGCTAACATTTACACCGTAACTTTAAGCTAGCACCATAAAGACGGTAAAACACGTAATAATATCTACAAATGCATCTTAAAGCTGTTATATTAGCACTCGGTGTATTACTAACATAACCACATTAACATTACTGACACTCGCTGACTTTTAATAGTCATTCTATAAATGCTGTCCGTTTAAATGGTCTTACCTGTACACACTGCATATCCACCGGGTTCCAGCCAGAGTGGATTCTGGAGTCTTCCACGCTCCTGTTAGTGATCCTCCATCTGGATGGATGAGAACAACCTTCTGAACAATCTAGCAGGAGATGGCCCATATCTATGGGACTGATTTGTGCTAATAACGCCCACTGTATGGACTGATAACAGCCGAAGCGGGTGAATAAAGTCACCCAGTAGCTAGCTGTGCCATTACCCAGCATACATCACTCCCTCCGTAAATGCAATAAACGATACAAAAGTATCGTTCTACCTGTTTTTCAGGTAGTTGTTTACATTATATAATTTATTGTGTTCAGTATACGTCACTACAATGTGATTTGGAAAATGTCTAAATATACCGACAGCAGGCACTTCCGCGGCAATCTCTTCAATCGGAGGACCCTTCACGTCAATTCCCGACGCGAGAGGGGTACCTGCACGTCCATAAGTGCAGCAGAGGGAGCCTGACCATGCGTCACACGTTTGACGAGTTGGGAGTGAGAACGTGTTGTATTATCGGATCGTCCATCTCTAGTAAATAGTGCACATTCATACAGTGCAGACCAGCAGCAGCACTGCTCACATATTTTGTGCTCTAAGAAGAAACCAAACCCAGCGAGTGATGTCACAGTGATTGTGTCCATCTTTCATATACAGTCTGTGGATATATCATGGTTTTAATGCCTCTGACAGCTTGTCATGAAATACAATGTGATTAACGTGGTTTTGTTTTAGAGGACTGAGGGACCTCCAGGGTCAAGAGGGTTGCTTTTGATTTTTGTAAAGACTCACACGGTGTGCTCGGGTGCTTGAAAATCTTTTCATCTTCACCAAAGCCCTCTGTTGGTTTGAGCTCAGTCTAAATGTGTTTGTGGTTTTCTGTTTGAACCCTGAAAGAAAAATTCAACTTCCTATTGCCGAGCTAATTTGCTTCATAATGACTCTGCCGGGTCATTATGAAGAAAATTTCATCAGGATCTCAACAGTGGAAACAGGATCAAACAATCAAATGTGTCTGTGCAAACGAGCTGAAACCACACAAAAGGATCCCAGACCGGCCCCGTCTCTCAAAGCGATCAACACGAAAGCTCGTGAAGTTTCATTTGAGGTCACGCAGGTTACATTTTCTTTGAAACTACTGACTATGTGTCAAATTCAGAACTATTGCTGCAATGTGACCCAAATAATACTTTTTATTCTGTATTCAATGAGATTAGTCGTATCGCTGGGAGATCTGGCTGTTATAATAAGGGAAAAGTTAATGGAGTTATCAGTCGTCGCTGTACTTGAAAGGAGAGATGGCCCAGCCAGATTTATTGTAATAAAATGCGTGGACAGCAACATGAGCCCACAGTTTTATGTCTCTATTGTTTTATAGTTTGGAAAATGATTTGCCAAAGATGAGTGCTTCCAGTTTTCTGCAGACTGCACGACCTGACTGTGGAAGTCTGTTTCTGCCACCCAAATATGAAGTCGATGATAGTTTTGTGTTATTTTCTTCACAAGTTGGAGTCAATAAGTGGAGATAATAACCTGTTAAGTTTTGAATCATGATGAGGATCTCTGTCAGTGCCTGCATAAAAATCTCAACTGTAGCTCAACACAACCAAGTGCAGTACAATGAAAACACTGACCCCGGGTTTAACGAGGACCAGAAGGATCCGGAACAGAGTCAACGACTAACTAAATCTGACGGGTACTTCAATACAAAAACACACGCAGAGTTCATTTTTCATGTGCTGCAGCCTCACAAACAGCTGATATCATGGAGATATAAAGTCAGAGCAACTATACGTTACTCTTACTGCGCATTTTTAATTTCTTTTATTATCCCTTTATCATCCAACCAGAGTCAGAGAGGAGTCGACCCCACCCACCACAGGGCGAGAGGCGGGGTACACCCAGGACAGGTCACCACTGAAGTACCATCAAATCAAATGAAAACATCCAACTCTGCAGTGCTGTTTGAAGGACTTTTACGTTGCTCCATTGCTGCACTTCAAACTTGTCCTCAGAGCAAACATCAAATTCTCTTTCAGACTCTGAGGCTCTGGAAGTCTCCTGCATATTCGCAGAATAAGACGGCGGCACAGAAGCCAACCAAAGTGCTGCTGTGCATGTGGTCAGCACTGACATGGACTTCAGATGTATAATATTTTCACTCCCTTCCCCAGACAGTCCTAATGTTAAGCTCTTTAAATGCCATCAGACTTTGGCAGGACGGAGTCTGGAGGAGCCTCATGGAAGAGAGGAGCTCCGCCTCTTTGGCTACATCCACACGGGTGTTTTTGAAAACACAGAGTTTCCGTTTTTGTTTCTTTGTTTTTAATCCCGTCCACACGTGCAGTTTGGAAAAATATCTCCGTTGTGGGATTACAATATTACCTTATGCCATGTTAGACCCCTAATTAAAGATTGTGAATTATTATGTAGTTTTAGTTTGCATTATTCTCCTGAATTAGAAGAAGCTGATAACTATTGCATTTATTAAACTGATTTGCATTAGAGTGCTGATTTATTGTGAATGAATGATATTGTTTTATGATGCATTATACTGCTGAGTTATAAGAAATACTGTTCACAGAAAGTCATCGCCTTATTTGTCTTATTAGAAGAGAACAGCCTAACTAAGCCTAACAGGGGACAGGTACTTCTGCCCAACCTGGCAGCCACAAAGTGAACTCATTTAGGTAAAGATAACCACATGCACCTAACCAGCCTGCACCAGCCTGACATTTCTTCCTCCTAAGTAAAAACGAATGGATGGATTGAACTTAAAGTCTCAGCTCAGTTTTCTATTTTGACCACCTACACCCCAAGATACTCTTTTAAAAAGTGTTGTTTTCAGATCCCTTTGAAGTTCATAAAGGGCCTGTTCATTTTCATTCAAATGTTTTATTACATAAATGTTACTGTTTTCTTTTGATTTATGCTCCCACTACACTGCACCTCTACAAACAACAATGCCACGGACTGTCAGTTGCTTTTACATGCTATAAACATGAGTAGGTTTGATCAGAGTTTCAGTTATCAAAGAAAAGACAAACTGAGCAAAAAGAAGGAAAAAAAGACCAACTTCTTCCCAACTGACAAGAAAAATACTCGTCATGTTTTCATAATAAAGGATCAGGCTCCCCATTTATGACAGCTTGGACCAATAATGTATGTTACATTGATGCTACTGTAGAGACAGTGTCAACATCTCTATTTAAATATAATTAATATACAAAACACAATAAAAGTTATACATGAATTATTCATTATTTTCACTATTGATAAAATTCATGTATACTAATCAAGGTTATACATGAGTAACGACATTATTAATAATGATTAATAATAATAATTCTAATGCCAACATGATGACTGTTCATAGCTCCTGCTTTGAAATACTGAACTTAAACACTGACCTGATGAAAGATCACAATTCACAGTGGCCCACTGTCAGAATCATTCTGAATATAAACTCATCGAGTTAATCTGAACCTTTCTCAAATGTGCTGTGAATAAATGCTGCTGCAAGCCACTGTGGGAAAGCTGTGTTATTATCATGAAAACATCTGTGACACATTCACAGAGGACGAGGACACAAAGGGACGACACGCAGAGGCTGTGTTAAAGTCAAAAATCCAAATCTTTAGTCCTAAACAGGCAGTGGTTACAAACAGGAAGACGAGCAGTCCATTAAACAGTCTACAGGGTCAAACATACAGAGAATTCAAACAGCTATTAAAAACAAATAACTGGACACTGAAAAACTTCAGTGATGTGTGAGGCACCAAAGGGAAGCAGCTGAGTATATTCAATTAATTATCTTCAAATACAAAGACAGAAACTCCTACAGGCAGCATGCAAACTGAGCAGGATACACAAAGATCAGAGATTACAAAATAAATCAGAAAAGGATTTCAAACTTACTGAGAGCAAGGCCTCTGTTACAAATCTGTCTAATAGAAAAACATGCTGTACAGATACAATACGCTCAGTGTTCATGGTCATTTAAAAACTGGCTCTACCTGAACCACTTCAATATTTTATGAAGTCACTGAGTCGACCATTTCTACAGTTTGTTTCCTTCATTGCAGTTAGAGTGTGGCTGGTAAGGATGAAAACACACACAGAGCGTAAATTGTCTTTGTTAGTAAGAAACGTCAGCAAAGAAAAGACAAAACACACAAACACTCTCATGATATTCATGAATCATTAGAAAGCATCCAAACATTCTGCTCGTGGACTTTTACAGTCTTATTTGCACTCGCTCATCTTCATAATCATCCTGATCAGTACATGACAGGGGAGGCTTTGAGGTAGGCGGGGCTCTCTGCTGATGTCAGCATGAAAGGCAGGACCAGCGTCTGCCACATGTTGGTGAAACATCACAGTACACTGGCGTGGTTTCCTTTCCAGATGTTGGACGTTTGACACTTCAACGTTGAGGCCAACAAGAAGACAGTTTTGGGTCGGGTTGCTGCAGGGTTTCTAACTGAGCAAAAGCAGAAGCACACAGACCAACAGGGATCAGATGCTGAGTGTTAGAGGAACATCTGTGCTGATCACTGAATGCTGCTGTGGTCTCTTGTTGAAGTTGGCTGGTGGGACAGTCTAATAGTGATATCCTGCCCATCGGAGGAACAGTTTTAAAAACACATGCAATACTTTGTTTGTATTACAGTCAAAGTTTATGTTAATTTTGTCCTTTAAAAGTGTTGCTGTACTATAAAGTCCTATAATTTGAGGCTAAAATGGCTCAGAGAGTCTCTCTCTCAGAGGATCTCCTTTGAAAGTGGAGACGGCTTTATCCGCTGATCCACGTCACTTTACCTGGATGTTTTCTTTGAAGCTGGATGAAGACTCCTCTCCCTCACTCCTGTTGCAGCTGTGTGGTCCAGTTGGCCTCTGAGGTCACAGTCAACATCTGTAGCAGAAGAGGGGAAATAAAAGTCCAGGTTACCAAAACTGGGAGCTTTTCCAAATAGAGCGTAACTGGACTTTTTCAGCCTTACAGGCAGATAGTCGTCTAAAGCTGCAGCTTTTTCTTTTTAGCTTTTTCCAATCTCTGCTCTCTGCTTTCTTTGAGAACATGTCTGCTTTCTTGGCATGGGTCTGTCTGCTGTTGGTGAAGAGACTAAATCCACATACTCGCTACTAAGATCTCCTCAAGTAGTCTCAACCAGATTACAGTTTAAGAGTAAATGTCTCCTGAGAGTTTCACCTTGGGGTGATGCTGTCTCGCTAACATGCAATCATGAGCATTAATCTATGAGGTGAAAAAGTAATTTTAAAAGCTCCAGCCACAAGTTTTATTTCATCTGTGTTTTGGTCAGAGTCCCATCAGACCTCCAGAATGGTGTCAGAGTGTTTTCTATCCACGTGATGAGCACAGGCCTCAGGTCCAGACCTCCACGGGCACCATAGCCTCTTTGGAGCTAATAGGTGCAAGAAGGTTTTGTTGGGATAGGAACTGAAGAGGAAACTGATGAGGAAGGCAAGGATCTTCTTCAGCTCCTCCGAGCCGGGACCTCTTTGTGTAGGCCAGCATTGGCCAGGTAGCCCTCCAGCATCGCTGGATGGCCGACAGTGGAAAACCTGGAGGAGGAGGAGAGAAACAGCAGCTTGGAGCATGTCTTTATACTGTTTAGTTTTTAGAGCCACAGACTTTCTTTTAATGTCATTGTTCAGGATCTATGACTGATTATGTATTTATTGTATTCCTCCATGACTGTGTGACAGCAAGTGGAAAAAACCAGCTTCACCTTTGTTGATATGCTTGTAATTTTAATATTGATTAAATGGCCCATGAAATAATAGAAAGCTCATATATGAAAATGTATTTTAAGAAGTAAAATGTTAATCTGAGTACAAAGGAGTACACTCACCTTCTGGTAGATGGAGGTGTAGCGAGCGCTGGTGAACATCCAGGCCTCCTCGTAGAACTGATCACTGATTGGATCCAAAACATCGATGGAGGATCTGTGTAAGCGCTGAGGATCGTCCTGATGGACAGAACAGAAGGAGAGTGAGACAAGTGAAGATATACTAAACAACACTGTGACATGAACTGAGCCACACACAGTTTGATTCACAGGTGATTGACACATTATTTGACCACGAGCAATCTTTTCTGGTTTGATGCCGTCTTTGTAGCCAGAAACCAGCTCTCTCCTCGGCTTCCTCCACTACACGCTTCCCCCACGCCAGTCTCCTCCGTCACTATAAAGGGGAGAGTCATGAGCTCCATCACCCTCACCTGTGCCGTCCAACGTCCCGCCACCAGCCTCCACTGCAGCAGGCCAGAGACCACACCCCTGCCACAATAAGTAAAAGTATATCCTTGCTGTACCCTTAATGCTAAATGTGCTAAATTAACCGCTGCCTTTGCCCCTTTGGGATTATTCTTATGTCACTGGGATGTTGACCTTTGACCTTCACATTAGAGAGATGGGCAGACATAATTAGTGTATGAATTTTAAAGTCACAGGTAATAAAGAGAGTGTAGCAAATGTAGTCAGGTTTATTACTCTGTATCACACATGAGTGCCCGAGGGAGGCGGGGCTGACTGGGGAGACACAGGAAACAGAGAGACAGGGCTGACTCGACATGAAACGATGAAACGTGGGACACGGGAACAGAAACTAAACACAGGCTGAAATGAACACTGAGGGAGGGAGAACTAAGATTACTGAGAGCCTGATAAATAAGAAGAACAAAAACCAAGAAAAACAAGAGTCAAAGAAAACCAAAAACACAAAGCATTGGGCCAGGACCCACTGCTGTGACATTTATATGTGATAAAAACATTAAAAACTGCTCAGATGTTGAAATCTTTCTACGTATACTTTAGGTTCAGCTCTCCAGCCTGGCATTTGGTTAAGCATGATTCAAACATTTGATTTTGTTTAACTGGTTTTAATTATAGTTACTTTTTGTGAACATTTGTTGCAGCATTTAAAAATACATCATTTATTTTCAAACTTTTATTTGATTTAGAGCATCATATTTGACCAACGTAAATGTTTTAATTTCATATAAAATAACTGAAACAGTGAACTAAATATCTGAAATCTTTCCTTCCTTAAAAGTTATAATCCTACTTAAGTTATAGTGCAAACGCTTAAGCAATAAATATATATAATGCTAATTAATTAATATTTCCCTTTGATGTTGCAACTATGCGGTCACTTCTGTCTTTAAACAAAATAATATTTTCCAGTTACAGAAATCATAAAGTCCAAACTAAAGTGCTACTGTTGCTATATGCATTTTATATAAATCATGGATGATGGTCCTGACATGAAGGAAGAGAAAGTTACAGGTTGCATCCTTTGACTTTGTCTCCGTGCCTTTGGGCCATTTTCAGAAGGACAGATGTTTCTGTTCAATTCTTAAATCAATTTTTTCAAACACAAACACTATTTTAAAGCTTCTAGAGAGTAAAATATTAATGATAATTATAATAACAATAATAAAAACAAAAGCTCTCAGATCCATCAAACCAAGCAGCAGAAAGAACAATAACTGAAGAGAAAACTTTAACCTTGTAGACTTCATTATGTTCCAGCGGCTCTACAGACGCTGTGACCTCGAACTTAAGCAGGTCGTAAAGTATGTGCAGCTCAATAACTTCATAATCAGACCCTGTGGTATTTAGGCAGCAGAACAACTAAGAATAACAACTACAAATAAAGTTTTTAGGTTTCTGTTGTACTGCAAGGTTCAGTACAGGCGAACCAAACCAAGAGCAAATATTACGTCTCATTTACAACAAAGCACAAATGCCATCAAAATTTAGCAAATTGAATCATCTTTGTTTAGATGCAAGAAGAATCATATAGAAATGAAAAAGTATAAATATAAATCCAGAGCAAAGATATCCTCTAAATCAGCGTAGCACATGTGCAGCTGCTGCGATTCACGTAAGCATTCGGCTCGTCGCTGTTGCAGATTTTTCTCTCGCTGTTCTGGCTCACAGCGCTGCAAGCACAAAAATAAATATCCCCAAAGCTGTGAAAGGGAGCTAATTAGTAAGAGTATTGTTACTCTCCGCAGGAGTAGTCCAGCAGTAGAAATCAGTACAATAACAAGGTGTGTAACATCTAGCAGGGTGACAGAAAAACCCAGGGTAACTTCTAAGGACCTCAACGTCTCTCTCACATTGTGTTTTTTAAACATGCTTCCATTTGTCACTTCAGTCTTTACTCTGAAATACAGGAAGAGAAATCATGGCTGAAACAATTTCTCATGAAACCAGGGGTGTGGTCCAACAGTCAGTTTGGTGAGGAAGGTTCCTAACTGAGAGAAGTGACCCAGAAGTATCTGTGTAGCAGCCACAATGAATCCAGAGCATGAGCTTTATTAACTGATCAAAGTCTCTTCTTTCACCTTCTGTATCATTCAGTTTGCATTGGTAATGCCCATTATTGTAATGCTTTTTTAAGATGAGCAAAACTTTATTTCACTTTGGGTTAGCTGGGATAAGTGATGGATGGAGGGAATTTTACTTCAGCCACAGAAATCCTAAACAGGAAGGAGGAGCAGAGTTACAGTGGATCACTATCCAGCAGGGAAACAAGGTTTATTTCAATTTCTTGGCCATGAGTGAGATTTACTGAGTGGGCAAATTAGGGAGACGACACCATCAGATCCCGAGCCCTCCATGTGTTAATCAAGAGACGGCTGCTGTGCTACATCCATAAATAATGAATAAATTAGGAGCTAAAGCTGAAAGGACAGTTTATTTATACCATCTTCACGTGAACACATTCAAGAACATCACAGATGAAGAAACATTAAAAACTTCCACACTACATAAAGCAAGAAAAATAGTTTCTCTTTCAGGTGGTTTCAGAAAAACAGAAACATCAAGCATCTCCAAGACTCTCTTTGAAAGAACTAAAAACCTTTGTTATCATGGTCCAATCATGAGTGAACTCCCCGATGAAGCCTTGTGTGCTAAAACATGTCAGAGTTTCAAAGGTTAAACATGAGTTTCCAAAACGTTTTGCTGGAGAACAATGAACTATTTGACTGAGTTTCAATCATTTACAGACGAGCAAAACCAGGACAGAGAAAAAAGGACAAAACTGACTCAGTAAAAAACAGAAAAGAAGATCCCATGTAGATCTGTATTATGTAGAAGTTCAGCCAACAACCAGTTCAGTTCAACACAAGTTTAAAGGATTCTATCTGAACTCTGTGGAGCCTGATCTCAAGCTTTTTGAGTCTGACACAGAAACCAGAGGATCTTTCTGTGTCTTCAGATTCACTGTGATCCAGTGATGGGAGTGATTTCAGCCCTGAGTGATCGCACTGATGTTTGCACAGAGCAGACAATGAGGTGAATGTTTGGGCACATTGGTAACAGTGAAACAGTTTATTAGTAACGTGGGATCGTTTGTGTGCAGAGTATGAACTGAGATTCCTGAAGCTCTTGTCACACTGGTCACAGCTGTAGTTTCCTTCCATGTGTGCACGTTCATGCATGTTACGACTACCTGACCGTGAGAAGCTTCTCTCACAGTGTCTGCACTTGTGTGGTTTCTCTCCTGTGTGGACTCGTTTGTGTGATTTAAGGTCCCTTGCAGTGGTGAAGGATGACCCACACTGATCACAGAGGTGCTTTTTAACCCCACTGTGAATCAGTTCATGTTGTTTTAAGTGATGTGATGTGGTGAAGCTTCTCCCACATTCTTTGCAGTATTTCAGTTTGTCTCCAGTGTGTCTACGTTGATGTACTTTTAGGGTCTTTTGCTGACTGAAAGTTTTTCCACAGAGGTCACAATGAAAGTCTTTCCCACCACCACAGTGATGACAGGGTTGAGAACTGGATCCATCTGTGTCGCTCTGCTTCTAAACAAAGACACAAAGACAGTGTAAGTCAGTCCTTCAACATTTGTATCCTGAACGTCGCCTGAAATAAAGAGCTTCTCTGCAGACGTCCAATTACATTTGACTGTTTCAGTTAACACACTCAGTTTACTGGGCTGCAATAACTACAATACTACCACCATAATACTACAGTAATACTAAAATGATAACTGAAAGGAAAATCTGAATAATCACTCAGAGCTGCTTTTCCATGCAGTAGAATTGCTAACATGCTAACACAGTTTAATGAGCAGAGTTGTTCCAAACAGTCAGGCTAAAATGACAAGATAACAATATAAATACATACCTCACAGTAGCTGCACTTGTAGAGTCTCTTTCTGGTGTGGATCTGTTGGTGTTGTCTCAGGTGATGTGGAGATTTAAAAGTCTTCTCACACAGGTCACATTGATAAGGTCTCTCCTCAGTGTGGGTAAACGTGTCGTTGTAACTGTGCGTCTGTTGTAAACTCTTTGCCACACTGTTCACAGCAGTACACATCATGTCTGGTGTGAATGCATAGGTGTGTATTTCGGCTCCCTCTCCGGCTGAAAGTTTTTCCACAGATGTCACAGCTGTATGCCTTAATTCCAGAGTGGGTAACTAGATGACTCTGTGTCAGAGATTTACAGTTAACAAACAGTCAGGTGAATAATCAACACTGAGACACTTGTGTAGGTTAACGTGCTGCACGGGTGAAAAGCTCAGAGCTAATCACCCCGAACTGCAGTATTCGTTTATTTTTATAGATTACATCGTCAATATGCAAATATAATCACATTTCCTGTCACGCAGGTCCTGATGTCTGTCTGCATGCAAGCTGTGTGTGTGTGTGTGTGTGTGTGTGTGTGTGTGTGTGTGTGTGTGTGTGTGTGTGTGTGTGTGTCACAGAGTATGTGTGTTGCAGGTCAATTTCTAAGAATAATATAATGCAAGTCAACTTCTGCGGATATGTATTTCTGTGCTGGTCTCTTGTCAGTGTCACAGGGTCAGCTTCCTGTTTTAACAGAAAACTGTGTCTGGTGAAATATGTATAACATAACTTTTGAAGCATAAGCAAATAAAACAATAAAAACTCCCTGACATTCCCTCCTGTTTTTACCGTATTTCACCACTTCAATCCTACTTTATTATTCAGCCAACAATCACTTGCTTATAACCCTTTCAATTGTAGCATCATTCAGTATGTGTGAGTGTGTGTGTTCCTATACTAAATCCTCTTCGTCCGGTTCATCTTCTTGTG